AGCCCTAAATCAAGAAGGGGTGTGTGATGAAGCTTGAAGGTTCATACTTGCATTATGGAGTGGAAGTATGCAACATTTACTCTTGAAGATAACAAGTTCAAGTCATGAATTTGAGGTTGACAAGAAGAAAGCAATGGAGTGGGGCGTGAGCCTCTTTGAGGATAAGCGATGAAGTGTTGAAGTGAAAGCAATCAATTGAATGAAGTGATGTGGTCCTTGTATTGATTTTTCATGTGGGGTACAAAAGCTAGATTAGATCTCAACCACCCATTGAGTGATCCAAGGGTTGAGAGAGGCTAAAGACCTAGCCTAGTCATTCACTATTGATGGCTATCATGTGGATGGTGATGATTGAGTACACCCTTATCACTAAATGCCCACATAATACCTCAAAAATTCCAACAATATCTCAAGTGTCCTTAAACTGTAATTTTCAAAATCAACTCATCTTGACCATTCATCTTTAAAATATTAAATGACCGCCATTGATTTGAAATGAGCCTTGTAAAACCTTAATGAGGGTGGCATGCCGGCCTTTCAATCTTAGTCGTTAAGGCTTGTGGCTCACACAACCTTAGTGCAATGTCATTTTCAAAGGGGGGACATCACATCACCCCATGTCATGGTGCGTCCCTCTTGTCCTCTTCACACCAATCACAACACTCCATTTCAAATGTCTAATGGCTATCTAATCACAAATTTAGAGTTTTAAAGATTTAATGGAAAATGAAAAATCTTTGCACTCCCATATGTCAACACACATGCCACCACACATGTGCTTCACACATGTGCCATAAAGCTATGTGTCAGATCCAAACAAGGGTCCCGCGTTTAGGGTTAGGGTTTCCGCATCATGCCCATTAGGCAATGATGTCGCTGCCCTATGGGATGCACGTATGGCACATTGGCCATTTGTGTGCCACACACCACATGTGTGGACGTCCTTAATTAGAATTAGCACACAACAATTTTAACAAAGTATTTTTCTCTGAAAATAAAATTCTAAAAAATCATCTAAAATCGTGATAAATCAGTTTTATCATTTCTCATTAAAATATCATGGGCTGGCACTTCTCATAAATCTAGTGGGAAAAACAAGGTCCGATAGAATGTCGGGCTACATTATACTCCACTGGGCTAGACCCAAAAATCCAATCCAATTTCTCAGATCAACCCAATAGGCCCTTATTAGTCACAGACTTTAGTCCGGATATGAGTGGACCTATCAAAGCTAACAAATAGTTAGATGGACTTCAGGGTGTTCAGTGGATTACAGGTGCCCCCAAGGACATGCACTCTTGTGGATGTGGGGGTCCTTTCTCAGTACGCGTGCACAGTTCTGATAGGTCGATCTTACCTCATCAGAACGGCTTCCCAAAGTGTGACTGTCTGTGCACACGCTGTGAGCAAGCTACATATGTCAGGGATTTGGGCTGATGTCCTCTTACAACCTAGCTATGCTCACATAGTGCTTATACACAACATGTCTCAAACAAACCGAGATCCATTGATCCCCAAGCCTTGGCTCTCACGACATGATGTGAACACTGTCATACCAACCTTGACTAGAGGAAAACCTTGAAACCTCTCGGTTCACAAGATCGTTCCAAGAACCTCACCTCATTCAATCAAATAGGGTCATTTTGGCTTATCCGGATCCTAGTACGCAAAGATACTCGTAGTCATTAGGTTCCTGGTCACTCCCACTGTGACTCTGAACCCATGTTGGAAAACCGATCAATCTAACCGGTAATCGCCCGGTTAGATCAGAGCCGGCTAGTGGCCGGTTCTGGTTTCAGGCGATTTTGGTGATCGAACGGTATTTTAAAAAACAAAATAAAAAAAAATATATAAAATCTCAAAAATAAGGAATTTGATTTGTAATACATTTTTTAATATTCTTTACATTATTGTAAAGATTAGAAATTGTTTTGGTCATTAATACTAACTTTTATATTTTCCCATCTTTCTCGGAAAGTTTTAAAAATACCCCTAGGCATTTTTAAAATCCATTTTTTTCATTAATTTTCAACTTCATTTGAATTTGTTTTGTTTTAATCATTCTTTATATGTTTTTCATATTTTAGTAGATTTTTTGTATCTTTTTTATTTTTTTAACAATTTTTTGACTGCCCTGGGACTTGCTCGGTTAGAACGGTTATATCGACCGGTTAGGCTGGTTAAACCGCTTTAGGCCCTATGTCCGATTAACCATTTCGGTTCGATTTTGCAAATAGTGCTCTGAACAATGCTGGCAGTGCACACATGGCCTTGAAAGGCTATATATGCAACAATGCTTGATGAGATCATCACCATGCTCAAAGAAGAGACTTCGTGAATCTGATAAATCTCAAACCTAACACCGGTTCATTAAAGAAAAAGAAGGACGTGGGCAAGAATAAGAGTAAGAGAGATGAGAATCAAAAGGGGGAAATTGGGCTTAAGAAAAGGGGGGACTTCAAGAATACGAAGTGTTATAATTGCAATAAGTGTAACACATAAGGAAATATTGCAAGGTGCGAAAGAATACAAATCCCAAGGGTGATGGGGAGCATGCTTGTGTGGTTGTTGAGACCAAGCTAGCTGATCTTAAAGAAGGATCCTGGTGTCTAAACTCAAGGATGCACTACTTAAGTGTCTAACACCAGGACGGTTTTCAAAATTTTAAACCTGTTTACCATGTGACTAGCATATCTTGATTGATGGAAATCAGAAAACAAAAATACTCGCTTTAGGGGATTACATCCTTTTGTTGGAAAACATAAAAAGCATGGTTCTAAAGATAACTCATTACACTCCAGACGTGAGACAGCTCGGTTTTGGTCTCTAGGTTTTTACTGGCAATAAGGTGGAAGTTAAATCGGGCCAAGAATTAGTTATGAATGGCCTTTTTGTAAATTGTTTTTTTACAATTGCAATAAAGAATCTATTTTCTGTGTCTCGTCCTTTGAAGATGCTAATAATGTATATATATGGCACATGAGATTGGGGCATATAAATCATAAGAGAATGGGGAGAGTAAAGAGAGAAGGATTACTGAGATTTAACCAAAGTATGTTAATCATGCATTCAAGGAAAGCTAGTTGAGATGTCCTTTGCAAAAGCTCAGAGAACTATTGGCATTTTAGATGTTCTCCATTGTAATAAATGTGGACCTACGAATCCATTAAGGCTGCAAGAGGTTCACTTTTATAGATGAGCACTTCCTTTTTGGCCATGTATATTTAATGAGTGAAAAGGCAGAAGCCCTAGAGTATTAGATTATAATGCCAAGGTATAGACCCAAACAGACTAGGAAATTAAGGTCCTAGAACCGATAGGGCGGTGAGTATTCCTCAAAGTTATTTAAGGAGTTCCTTACTAAGCATGGTAACATAGATCAATATTGTATGCCATGCACTCAACAGAAGGGGTAGCTAAGAGACGGAACAAGACCTTGGTGAAAATGGTGAGTGTGATGGGACATGCTAAGCTCTCCCTAAATTTTTGGGGGAGGCAGTATTAATAGCTGGTTATACTCTTAATCGGACTCCCACAAAAGCGGTCCTACTAACTTCTCATTAGATTTTCACTAGTTGTGCTTCGTCCATTGGGATGCTCGGCCTATGTGGATTCTCGTTGGCAATGCGCGTAATGGGGACCAAACACAAACATCTTGATTGGTGGTTCAAGGCCCAGTCGCAAACTAAGGTGAGTGATGGAGCCCACCATATCGCATGTAGTACCCAGATTCCTACCCATCCTGCTCTAGGTATCCAAATAGTGCACACTCCCAGTCAATCTGAGAGTAATAAATGGGCATAAAAGCATGAGGAAGCATAGATGGGGAGCACGTAGCAAGCTTTTAATAAAAATTAAGTTTTTAGGCATTTTAAGGCTACAAACCCCCATTAAATGCATGCGATAGTTTGGCAGACTGAATTGAAAGTTTTATGGGTCATGAACATGAGCATGGAGCTGGAACAGGAAATTATAAATCTCTTGTTTATTGGATTTGAAAGGATAGAAAATGTAGAGTTGATGCCATTGACTTAGGGGCAAGTCATATAGTTGATAAATAACTGTTCCAAACGAAAGAATATAGAGCATTTTTGAAGTGATAGGGGTCATTTATAAATTATGAAGTTATATTATGAATACTCAAGCCTTGTATAGCTAGGAATTCTTAGTTGTTGCAAGTTTCCAATGTGATGCAGCCCAGAATACTGCTCTCGAGTATTTAGATAAGAGAGACGAGCTTAAAGTTTACAAGAGGAACCGCAGAAAATCAAAATAGTCATTGAATCTATTCTTGAATGTCTTTTATTTATTTCTTGAGTCATTTTATTTACTTAGGGGCATAAGTGGTAATTTCTAGAGTCTTTTATGTCTTTTTAGTCACTTAAAGTCTTTTATAATAAATGGCCCGGATTAGGTTAGTTGGATGGCCATGATTAAGTCTTATTTATGGTTTTCTTGTATGAGAGATGTACTCAAGCATAATGAAGCATCGTGCTATGGATTTTTTTCAAAACCCTGGAGCAGCAAGTGCTTCTTTTGTCTTTGATTTTTGGACCTTTTTTTAATTTTGGATTTTCCCTATCTTCTTCTTTGCTAACCTTAGCTCCAAGCTACTAGGTTTGCGTCACAAAGGGTGTGAGGAAAAGGTTTGCATGTTTTCATTGCAGCCTGCTCTAATTCATTGATTATTATTCATTTGTTTTCACTGTAGTTCTGAGTGAGGGAAGTTGAATGGTTCATATTATTCATTTTTAAATTTTCAAATAAGGTCAATGATTAAGATTGATTTTATTGTGTGTATGGGTCCTATTTTTATGGTTAATTCATTGGCAGCTCACATACTGGGATTGTTGATCTTAAATAACAAATGTATATAAGCAAACTCCATATTTCTTTGGCAAGCTTTCCCATACTTGATGTTTTTTGTTGTATTCTTATATGATTTTGTAAATAAAAACTTGGTTTGATTGTCTGACTTCTTTGGAGTCCCGTATTTGCAGCCGCTTGTATCTGGTGCTGCCCTAGGATTGGAGGGGCAGGTATGCATTTCAGCACTTGCCAATTATTATTGTACATGTGATAATTGACTTAAAGAGGAAACAAAGTTCTTTTTATACTATTGAGTATCTAAAGACTTCTTTGAGAATCTACTATAAGCTTAAAACTATTTCATTATCATTTGTTTGAAATGCTTGTAAATGAGTTTTAGTTTCCCAGGATGTTAATTTACTTGCTTTTTTTATCTCTTCATGAGTTTTACTCCTTGACAGCTAACAGTTTACCATCATAAAGGAGGACCATGCTATAGATGTTTATTTCCTTCACCACCTCCTCAAGCAGCATGCCAAAATTGTTCTGACAGTGGAGTTCTTGGAGTTGGTAATTCCTTATTTTGGCAAGAGCTTGTCATGCTAAATGATTTATGAGCTCTTTTACCAATGTGCTCTAAGACAAGCAAATTATTGGCGCAGAAAAATTTAATTAGAGAACTTGTGTACTTTGGACTGTTAATTCTGATTATTAGAAATCCGTGTAGAAAAACTTTTAGTTCATGATGCATTAAATGTCAGATGGTTTCCGTGCCTCATGTCTATAACTTCTGGATGACTGTAGGACTTGTCCTTTTTAGTATGATTTGACTGTTAGGGGGAAAAGGGAGGTTAATTTCTATCTATTTGTTCAAAATTTAGTTCTGGATCTATTTATTTAAAGAAAAAAGGTAATGTAATTCTATATCTAGGTGATAGGTTTTATTATCATGTTTCTGGCAGGTTTCTGTTCAAATGTGGAAATTTAATTTTCAGCAAATTGATTTCTTGACTCATTGCCAAAATAAATTTCTTTAAAGTATTTGGTTAATAATCCCAGGATGACTTAAATTGAAAATTTTTAGGTTAACCAGGTTACTTTCATACTCCCTAGAGATCAAATGTAAAGGACTAAAGGATCCTGCTCTTCCTTTCCTTGAAAGCTCACTCTAATCTCATAAGGACCACATTAAAGTGTGAGATCATATGTACATGTAAATATGAGGACTCATTATCCATGCTTAGTTTTTATATTGCAAGGTACCAAACATGCTTGTTGAATGTTCAATATGAATACAAATAATGTTTTCCTTTTATTGTTTTATTTTTAGCTTTCGAGAAAACATCTGCTCATGTGCGCATCAGTTATTTGAAAAGACTCCTTTGGTAAAACCAATTATGATATAGCTCCAACAAAAACCAAAGTGTTACAATGCACATTCAAATGAAATTTAAAATTCAGCATGCTAATGACTTGTGCAAATTTTTTTGTGCATGTGCATGTGCATGTATCCTTAGTATGCAATCGTTAAAATAAATCATGATCTCATTTGACAAAGCAAATCGAGCATACATGATAGTAAATATGAGGTAAAATTCACTTTGCAGATAATACGAACCCTACAAGATTTTACCCTATTTATTTTTCTTATGTAAGGCTCAAATTAAAATTAGGGCTTTAGATGTCTGATATAGAACTGTATTAATTGTTTGAATATGATAATGTTTTGTTGGTACGTGTGTGGCCATGGGGCCTCACATGTGCCACATATTTCTTTTTTACTCTAATCAATGTTTTTCCTTAAAATACTATGTATTAATTAGTGTTTGGTCTTTTAGAGAGAGAAAATCCTTTTTTCAACAAATAGTGGATAACTCCCTATCTCCTAGTATTGAGGACCACTTCTCACAGATTCCAGGATCCAAAGTTGAAAGTTGGAGAACAGCCTCCTCCCATCCCTCTATAAGTTAGGGTTTCATGGTCATGGGGAGACACAGAGAAACAAAAGCTATTATCAATCGTTCTGGAAAAGCCATGGCTCTTTGCGATTTACAATCCAACGGCGCTCTCTATCAATACCTGGGATTTTTGGCAGATTCTCCCCGTTGAAGTTCAACTTTGGTATCAAAGCTGAAATTTGCCAACATGCTGTTGAGATTTCCCACTCTCTATTTTATGCTCCTTGCAATCGCCCAAATCGTCACTTCTCTCTCTAACCATCTACTGCCGTCACTTCTCTCTCTAACCATATGTTGAAATTGACACTCTCTCTCACTACCGATGTAAACAAAATTTATGTGGATCTTATATTAGGCAAGAGGCAAGAGGGGCAAAGTGACATAAATTCACTGCATTACAATGAATTTCTATGAAAGGAGGATTTCTTCTTTGTCCATCACCGTTAAGGGATTTTCTCTTCTAGGGCTGCAAGCGCATCAACGTTTTCCACTATTAAGAACCCGGTGGTGTGTAGCTAGTCTCACGCGTTCTCCTCCCTCAGCTCTATAACCAATCCCATCAAGGCCTTCGGCTAAGTGGTTTCGGCCAACTCCTGACATGGAGAGGGCACATCTGACCAAGCGCACCTGACTATCATACATCAAATTTGTTCGTACGTATGTTATCTCAATGCATCATTTTTTTTTCCTCTTTACCTAATATTAATTGTTTTTGTGCAAAAACAATTTTGTTAATCTCATTCATCCATAAAATGCTGCTGTAATTTGAGAGAGAGAGATAGGGCTATAGCTGAAATTTTAGAGAGACAAAAAAACACATAATTGCTGCTAAAAATAAGTGCATAAAAAAAAGCCAGGTTCTATTTCCTCAACATATTAGTCTGATTTATAGATTTATCAATTTATTTATTTTATCTTGCATGCTTGGTTGGTAGTTGAGGGATATTTCTTTTATGGATATTTTATTTACATCATAATCTTTCCTTACTTTCATAATTTCCCTATGCTATGGTCTATTTTGAGTAGGTAAAATTTCATGCTCATGATTTTGTAAACTGATTTTCTTAATTGTGGTCCATATTTTGTTGAGAATAACAAATATTGTCTATTGTAAACAATTACATTAGACTCTCTCATATTGATATAAATATTTTCTAACATCAGTCTTGCTACCTTTTGCTTCCTCTCTCTAGAATGTGAAGCTTTATAGTTCATGAACTTGTATAAAGTACTTTGCTGCCAAAATCTAGGCTCTTGCATCACACCAGTGTGCACATAAATTGTTCTAGAGAATTCTTCATTGAGGTTGCAGCCCATAAAGAGTCGGCAACCTATTGATTTGACTAGCAGATAATCCATTCTAAAACACAAAATTAATTTAATTTTTAGCTCCATTTGCCTATATTTTATACCTTTTAATTTTAAACACCTCTAAAACTTAAAATGGCATCTAGGCTTGTGATGGCATAACTCTCAAAACTTGAAAAACTCAACGGAACTAATTTTCCTATGTAGAATAGAAAAATTGGATACATTCTCTGCCAAGATAGGGTGGATTATGTTCTAGATACAAACCCACCACTTTTAGAGCCTAATGCCAATGATCAAGCCTGAAGGCGATTTGACAAATAGTTAGAAGATGATAAAATAGCTAGGATTACTATGTTGAGTTTTTTGGAGGATGACTTAATTAAAGTTTTTGAAGACCACGCCATAGCCCGAAGTATGATGAGTGCCATATCTGAAAAGTATGAGACCACTTCAGAGACCCATGTGCAATTATTATTAGAAAAGTATAAGTCTTGCAAAATGAAGGAATCAGACTCAGTGACCGAGCATGTCAACAAAATGACAGTGCTCGTAAATAACCTTGCTACGGCCTGGAATGCAGTCCCTGACCACATGCAAGTGTCCATTGTCCTTAACAGTCTCCGTCCATCTTGGGAGCTTGTTGTAATGGCATTGAACCACTTTGTACAAGGGATAATTTTGTTGAATCTTCCCATGCACCTCAGTATTGAAGCGGGGAGAAGAATAAGAAAGACGTCAAATGAGCTCCACTTTGCTCAAAAGTTCATCATCTCAAATTCCCAAGAAACCTTACAATAATCAGAACAATAACAATAATAGATATAAGGGAAACGGGAAAAATTTAAAAAATCAAAGGAATAAGGTTGACAAGGCATGTTTTTATTGTAAAGAAGCTGGGCACTTCAAGTTTGATTGTCCTAAACTGAAAAATAAAAATTGAAACTAGATAACAACAATGCTCGAAATAATAATTATCAAAATAAAAGAAAGGACTTCATCTGCGTGGTTCTAGAATCATTAGTTGCCGACCATGATCTGAGGAATTGGTGGGTCAACTCAGCCCCTATTCGACATGTCTCGAGGACCAAGGATGTATTCACCGAGTTGAGGGAGATCGTAGCCGGTAACCAACAGATTTATATGGGAAATGACACCAATTGTAATGTACTTGGTGTCAGTACTTTTAAGCTGTATCTACTTGGAGGTGCAAATCTTTTACTTATTGATACTTTGTATGTAGCCAATATGAGGCGTAGTTTGATTTCTGTTCCTAGGCTAGACGACAATAGTCATGAAATAAGGTTCTGGTCTGGTCGGGTAATCCGTGGTAAAAATTCTCGAGCATTGGTGTATGGCACTAAATTTGAACCAATTGAATATTAATAAAAATTCATCTTATTTTGGTTATATTGATGGTTCCTTTGATGTTTATGTGTGTGTGAATGATTCATATTTATGGCGTTTAAGATTAGGAGATATAAATAAAGATAAAATGAACAAAAATGGTTAAAAGAGGTTTCCTCCCCAACTTAGGGGAGATTGTGTTCAAAACATGCGAGCCTTGTATTTCTAGTAAATGAATTAAGAAGCCTTTTCCTAAAGGAAAAAGGTATGCTGAGCTACGTAGTATAATTTACTCTTATATATGTGGCCCATTAAATGTAAAAACACATAGAGTTATGGAATATTTCATGACATTTATAGATAATTATTTTTGTTATGGATATGTATAATTAATTAGTAGAAAGTCTGATGCATTATAAACATTTAAAGAATATAAAACTGAGGTAGAAAACCAACTAGGGAGACATTAAAATTCTTAAAACATATAGAGGAGGTGCATACTGCTCCGACTTATTTACCGAATTTTGTAACGAGGATGGTATAATTCACCAAACTACATGCCATATACACCACAACCAAATAGTGTAGCCGAAAGAAGAAATAGTACTCCAATGGACGTAGTTAGGTCAATGATGAGCTCTTCAAATTTATCACCTCATTTTTGGGGTGAGACTCTCAACACTACAATGTACTTTATTAATTGTGTTCCAACTATATTCATAGACTTGACCCCTTATGAATTATGGACTGGTAGGAAATTTAACCTTACTATCTTGAAAGTTTGGGGTTTAAAAAAGGGAATAAGTTCAAAAATATTTTCAAAGCATGTAGCTTTGTTGAGATTTAGGAACATCTAAGTCAGGAACTCTCAAATGGGATATTTTTTCTTTGATTTTTTTAGGAAGAGCCGCATTAGTTTGAAAAACCCCATGACATGACTTTGGATGATTTTTTGTG